TATTAAATATAGAAAGTTAAAATATGTCAGAAGTAAAAACATTGTACAAATCCAGAGCTGGACAAAGCTAAAAAAGCTCTTTAAGGTGGTGCAGGGAAGTTTACACCTCCTCAGAAAGCCTGCTGTGCCTGTCTTCTTCAAGACCTCTCTCCATGCTGGGGATGGGAGTGGCTCTACACTTGTCTGATGTATGCTGTTAGCTGAATTAATGTGGTTTCCTTTTTTTCTTTTTTCTTTTTCTTTTTTTTTTTTTTTTTGGGGGGGGGCAGTATTCTCCAACGGCATGCAAGTCTATAAGAACCCTTGTTTTTGATTTTTCTGTATGAAGAATATGTCCAAAACTGCAGCAGTACCGGAGGCAGGGAGGTTCACTTCTAGTTCATAGGATGGTCATGAGAAAGCTGTGATAACCTCCTTGCAACCAAACCAGAACATCTTACTGCTTCAGTGGTTTGGCCCAACAAATGGGAACTTTGGCTTTCCCTTTCCAAGATACCCACTTGTACTCTGGCTAGGATTCAGGGGAATCCTGAAAATTCCTACATGTAAAAAATTTTGCTGTCTCCAGAGGGGAAGAGTCTCTTGGTTTTCACCAGGGAAGCAAGCATGAAGACAAGAGTTCCCAGGGTTTCTCAGGCAGGAGCCATGGTGAGGGGCTGGCTCTACTCAAGCTGTGGCAGAGGGAGCATACAAGGCAGCCAGAAAACCTCTTAGAACAGCCTGGCACACTGAAAATCAGGCTGTGCGATGCCTGTCACTGGCATAGCCCTTTATGAAAGCAGAAAGAGACTGCTACAGGTGCAGCAGCTGTTTCTCAAGCATATTCATCTGTTTCCAGCATGTATGGGGATGCACTATCCTTGTATCTCAATAAAGTTGTTTGCAGAGTAAAGAACTGTAAAGTGGCAGGTGATTTTTGATAAAAAATGATGAACAAGTACAAGCCTAACATGATAGACTGCATATCAGCCTGCAACAGATATTCAGCGTAGGCAAGCCTTAGGTCAAAGATAGTGAGTAGAGAAGCGCCGCAACTAACCAAGCACTAGTGATAACAGAAGCTGAAGTTTTCACATATGGAAATCTCCAGAAATATTAAATGGGGAGCCTGAAAAAATCCATAGGAAATTCTACAGATTTATGAATATTATTATACGTGAACTTTAATTACACTGACATTTAAAATGAACAGAAATGGCACTTTAATTGCACTGTAGCCACGCTTTTATTGCATACATTTAAATACATTAGAGAGTAGTTAGAGCTGTACTGTACTGTACTGTATGGGACCAGTCCAGGCAGTTAGACACTCAAAATGTGGAAATAAAGACTGTAGAGTTGCACCTCAGCTAGGGAAATCTGGCTCAGTAGTTCTTTCTCGGTATCTCTGGGGAGCAAAAAAAAGTTTTCTCCCAGCTTTCTGAAATTCTCCAAGGGACTCCAGGGCACTGGATCCTGAAATCTGCTTGGATAAAACTGCTTGTGGCCTTTAGATAGATGGCCTTTTCTGTGGTGCTATCTTCAAAATAGACAGAGTGCAACCTTGCATAACCCTGCATAAGCATGGCCATCACTATAGGAAGGGTCTCATGCCAGCCTCTGAAGTATCTGAGACGGCCATCCTTGGAGCTAATGGGCTGCATGAGGTGGGTAGCGCTTCATATCCAATGATGGTCTGATGTTTCCTATCTGTGAGGCTATGGCAGAAACCAGGCTCTTGCTGTGCTTTCATTTTTTGGTTGAGAATGCTTCCATATGGGGTCTGACATCGCACCTCTTCCCCGCAATCTTTCTTCCTGTTTGTGGAAAGCTGTTAGCAAGGAATTAAAAAAAAAAAAAGACTTCTGCTCTTTGACGATCCCTTAAAAGATATGTTTTATTGGTGGTTTTTTTTTTCCTGCTGCTCCAGCAGCAGAATAAATAAAGCCTGTGCTAGAGCTTCAGCAATAGGATCACCTTGAATCTTCTTGGTTCAGGCACTGAACGTTCAGTTCTTCAGTTTTCACCTATCTCTGGGCAAGTGACTCCATCTCAGTGGTCTCTACTCAACTGTGCAATTTTAACGATGGCAGAAAAAGAGTTCTCAGTCTCAGCTCTGCAGCTGTAAAGCCATACTAGTCCTTAATTCATAAGCGTTATTTGTGATCAGATATACTGGCAAGCTGGACTACATAAGAAAACTTCCTCATTTAAAACTTTCAGAAATGGAAACCACCGGTTTGTGCAGTTTCTGCACTACCAGCTAAGACGCTGAAAGTTTAAAATGGATTATTACACACTCCTCTGGGGACTGCAGCATTTTGTTCCTTGTCCCACACATCCGCCTGGTGCCTTGAATACACAAATCTGGATTCTGCCCTCATGTTTGGCCGCAGCACAAACGTTTCCTCTCCTTTCACTGAGTAAGCAATCACGCCGACACTGAAGGTCTTATGTGCTGATATGCATATGACATCATATGCTGTCTTCCAGGTGGAAAGGTATCTGAAAGAAATGCATTGCTGTCCTTTAAAAAAAAAAAGAATTGTCAATTTAATTTTAACTTGGGAAATATTTATGTAGGAGACATTCTGACTCTGAAAGATCCCTTTCTTGGATGTTTTTTCTGCTTCATGATTCACTGCTTACTTATACAAGGGCTGTTGTTATGCCCTGCTGCTGTTTTGCTTCGAGATCCCTTTTCAGTGTGTTAAGTCTGAATGTCACAATTTCCAAAACGCACTTCCTCATCCCACAGGTGTGACCTGCATTCTTCATTTCCAAAGATGTTTGTGATTTGCATTTTGGAATATTCATGCTTCTCAGATGAATCCAGTTTACAAAATTACCTAGATCTTTTTGTATAGTTGACTTGTCATTATTTAGTATGTCATTGTTTGTACCACCTCTAAATGTTACTGGTCATGGCTTTAGATTTTCTTCTAGATTAAAATACTAACTAATATTCTATGCTATTAAAAGATGCTATAATGATGCCATAAATCTGTTCTGTGTTCCCACTGATGACTTGGATGAAGGACGAGAATATGTATGCTTGTGCAGCTGATATGAACTTGTGAGGGACTGCTAACATGCTGAAAGAAAGGACTGGAAATTCAAATCAATCATCTTCACAAGTGAGAGGCATGGTCTGAAAATAAAGAGGGTCAGTTTCAAGAAGGAAAAGTGCAAGGTACCACACTTGGGTAGAAATATGTAATATACAGAGATATCTAATGATGAATACTTGGTTTTCAGCAAATCTTCAGAAAAGATTGGAATTTTCAATGGACTGCAGGTTCAACATGAGTCAATTCTGTCTATATGATGAAAAAAAAAAAGTAAATGTTACACTGGGGAACACAGACAGCTGTTTAGCCTGCAAGATAAATGAAATATTCTTCCTGCTCTGGTCAGCACTGGAAGGGCTCTGCTGCAGCTCTAAGTTCGGTTTTGGATGCCGCACTTCAAAGAAAATGTGAATCAGCTAGAGGGAATGTAGAGGAGAACAACATGGATGACAGATCTCTAAAACATGGGCTCCACAGAAGGACTAAACTAACTGGGCCAGCAGAGTGTAAAGAATGAAGGACTGATAACAGCCTTCAAATTTGTTAAAAGTATCTCTAAAGAGAAAGAGAACAACCTCTTTGCCATATCTGTAGAACAAGAAGTACACAGCTTAAATTACAGCTACTGGAGTTTTTTAAATACAGGTTAAACAAGCACTTGTGGGGCTGGTAAATGTGTCATTGGCTCTTCCTCAGGACAAGGCTGATTTGGATGATGTCTCAAGTTCCTTCTGTTCCTCTTTTGCTACAGTGCAACTATTGACATACCGTTCTGTTGATCTGTTTTGCTATGTTTGCTATAAAACTGAGTTTTGGAATCATAGAATCATATCATAGTATGGCTTAGGTTGGAAGGGGCAGGGACACCTTCCACTAGACCAGGTTGCCCAAATCACAGGCAAGCTTTGCTAAATGCCTTTAGAATTTGCCATTGGATTTTGGCTTTATATTTACTATTGATTTTCCAATCCATCAGTACATTTAATGTGTGCTACGCTGACTTACCTATGTGTTGACTCTACACCGAATGCCATGGTTGGGTGAAAATACAGTAAGTTCTTTGGTTTTGATACCACTGTCTTGGAGCACTGCAGGACACTTTAGCATTAACCCTAAATTTCTACTGAGCAAGTTGCTAATGTATGCCCGTACCTCTAAACACCATGAGCAAAACCAGTAATTCCTGAACTACTTTGTATTAGGGTTTTTGTTGTGGTTGTTTTTTTTTTTGACTTGACTTAATTTGGTATATTTTTAGGGCAAACTCCCTGATATGTCGATCTCACAGGACAGAGGCCAAGTTCACTTCTCTTTGGCACCCGCGAGTGTGCTTTTTTCTCAAAGTAACAATTGCATCTGACTTGCTTCTGCTACCTTATTCTGGGGCTTATGAAATCCCGAGTACAGATTCCCATAACTGGAGGCGGCGGGCATGGGGAGATGGGGAAAGTGAGATACCTCAGCTGAAGGAAACACCCAGAGAGTTTCAGACCTGAGGTGGCCTTTTGGGCTTTCTAGAGCAGCTGAATCCCAAGGGACTCATTTGCTCTGCAAATGCCTGGCTTGGGAAGCATTGAAGCTGTGTGACTTTGGCCCTGTGCACAAGGTGCTGATGCCCACCAAACATGACCTGGACTCTCTGTTTCTACATCACAGTTTGCCGACACCCAAGCTGGAGCATGGCCTGGAGGTTGCTCCCGTACTAGCTGTGCTTGACCAGCCATTGCTGTTCCTGAGGTGCAACGATATGAAGCATCAGGTGGGATGGGAGCGTCTTGGGGGCCCCTGGATCGGTTTCTTACTTATTTGCTCCCCTGCCATGTTTGCCAGCTCCTCAGGAGTGAGTTGTTTCAGGTGTGCCTGTTAAATTGGCAGTGACTGACACTTATTGCCAGCACCCAGGGATTCCCTGTCATTCGAGAACTACTGGGACCTGTCGAAAAATCGTACTTTTCACATACACCTTCCCATCCAATCCTTCCTTCAGCTGGTCTTGTCTAATGTGATCAAAGCCTTTACCCATCATATACTCCCTCTCCACTTTGTCACTGGTGGGGTCTGATGAATTGCCCTCGTTATTATTCTGAGCCTGCAGGTCACCCAGACACAACATAGTGCCAGCACAATGGTGACAACTGAATTATAACAACTTCTCAGCTTCCTTTGCAGCACAGATACAATATTTATGGCACTATTAATGCACAGCGCTGTCAGGTTTTTTAAAATGAGAGTAACTCACCTGTCCCTGTCATACATGCATGTCCTCCGTGTTTCAGAAGTGTCAGGAGAATCCTCATCAAATTTTCTCTCTTAATAGTCTTCTGCCATGAAGCCCAAGCAAAAAATGGCAGGCTCCAGCACAGGTAAGCCTGATGGATCTTTTTGTGGAGACAGCCAGGATAAAACTTTCAGCTGTGCTGCTTAAGCAAATGACTTAGCCTTCAGGCCATGGGGATGTATAAGCACTTTTTTTGCTTTATCTCTTGATTTTAAGCAGAATTTAAGCTCCTAAATATCTTCATGGATTTGTCCCATAACCTTACAGGGCACCAGATATTTGACAAAACCAATATGTGATGCAAAACTCACTCTGCTGAATCAGAGGGACCAAATGATGTTGAGAGCTTTATGCCACGTTGGATGTCAGCTGTCTCCCCAGGGCCAGTCACGGAGCTGGCATCAACATTGCAACTGTGTGCTCTGGCTACATTAGCAGAAATATGACTGATTGCCCTTGACCGCAAGTGATATGAAACATATTTGTGCTGCCAAGGGATTGGAAAACACACACATTTGGCATGAATTGATATAGCACCTCAACTTTAAGCTCCCACCACTTTTTAAATAGGACATAGACCTTCCTAACACATCAAACTCTTCACAGTCATAAATATATATTTAAGTTTCTCCTTTGGCCAGTGAAGATAAGCCAGTAAAAAGATTTTCTTTTGCTAGCGTCGCTTAAACTGTGTCAGAAAGCATAACTTCTAGCAGTGAAAGCATCCCAAGTGGGACACACTAAGCACACCAGAGCTGGTCCCTTTGGGGTCCCTCTGTAGTTAGATGAGATGTGATTGATGTAGCTGATGGAGTCTCCACTGTGACTCGCCTCACTCTACAGTAAAAACTAAAACTGAGCACAGCATTTAGAGTTTAGAAGAGCCTGCTCTCCAGCAACTAGGAAGGAACAAAACTCACATGGCTACATCTACACTGCTGATATTGAAGCTAGGTGAGATGCACCTTTGCTTCTCGTTGGCCCCGGACTAATCTAGCAAATACTGCTGATGATTGAAGAGGTCATTTCTTAAACTTGCTCGCTGCTCTTCTCCTGGCATGTTGGTCCCACAACAAAGCCGGCAGAGCTGGCTTATGGACACAAGAGCACTCCAGTCAGGCCAAATCCTTGCCCTGGCAATGGGACTGTTATTCTAGGCTACTTCTTGCAGTTCGCTTAGCTACCATCACACCTGTTTTTTAACAGAGCCAGATGATTTTGCCTGGAGTTCATGAGGGACCATGGTCATGAACCGTTCTGCAGCAATACAGTGGGACCCAACACTCCACCTGGGTGTGGTGGTAAGGACTTGTACCTACAGCCAAAGGCTCTCACAGTAACTTTGGCAAAAAAATACACTTGACCATATCCTGCCATCATCACCTTTCCAGCAGAAGTTTTGGTGCCCAGGGACCTGGTTGTGGACTTGTAAGTCATTTAGGTACTTCTGGATTGCTTTTCTTTAGCCTTCTACTGTGGGTTCATGTACCACTTTAGGGAAGAGCCAGGAGAAAGGGGAGCCAATATACAACTGGCCTCCCTCATAATTTGTCACAAAAACTTGCTTTTATTTTTCTGCTTGAAAAGCTGGTTATTAAATTTCTCTCATGTCTTTGCACTGACCTGGACAACAACCAACCACTATTATAGTCACTAAACAAATCTGGTCCGAGAGAGACCCACGTGCCAGTGGTGATGGACATTGCATGGCACAGCCTTTCACTACCCTCCCCCGGCCCATCTCTTTTAAAATGATAAACCTGCATTTAGGAAAAGGAAATTTACTGTGGCTTTTCTGTGCAGATGGTGATAAGCGTGAGTTAGCATTTGTAAGCTTATAAGCACATATGGTTTTATACATATCAATTAAGGCAGTTGGCTAATCACTCTAATATCATTACTGATTCATCTGTATTCCTTCAAATAGACATTTATGCTCAGCCTGCTGGTTTTTATACGTATGGACTGGATTGTGCAATTCTCCCTGTCACCATTTGTTGTCAATAACATTTCCTTGGCATCAAAGGGATTAAAAGGGTACATTTCAGAACTGTGTGGGCAAGTCGTTTGGCCCATGCCTTATGTACAAGGCATGCACATAAAATATTTGTGCGTGTGTGGTTTCTTTTTAAAGGCTCTGCTAGTCATGCCGTGGGCTGAGTGACAACAGCACTATGTCTGTGCACATGGGACATACATGCAGACTCATGCATGCACTCATCCTGCTGTTTGCCAGCCTGCTGTGCGCAGCCAAGCATCTTGACCCTAATGAGCCTCACCTCAGAGCGCTGACTGAGCTTACCACCATACCTCCACCACAGAAGTCCTGGCAAAGCTAATCTTTTCACCCCAACCTCTCTCTCCCCCATGCAGATACAATAGACACACAAACAAGAGCCCAAATACCTGCCACCATCTCTCTGGCTTTCTGTGGCTTACCTCCAAACCCACTGCTCCTGCTTGCTTGGTCATGGTCTCAGCACGACATGCCTCACTTGCCTCCCTGCCCATGCACAGCTCTGGGCTTGCACCACTCACTCCTCACGATGTTTCGGTTCCCGCTGCTGTCTGGATCAAGCTTCTGCTGTGTCCAGACAGCAACCCTGAGACCTGCATCATCCAGAGGCATCCAGAGCTGGCAAGTGGGGCATGGTTTGGTTACCCCATGATCGTAGATTTTAGCTGTGCCTTCCCCTGGAGGGCAACTGCTCTTCACCCCCCTTCCCCTTCATATACTCTTTGAATATGGGTAGATTTACCAGGACACTTGGAATGGATATACAGTTGACTCCTTTTACTGTTGGGGAAGTTCAGCTCAGAAGCTCAGGGCTGAAGTTTTCATTTGTTGGGTAAATCATTGCAAATGGCAGCTACGTGCTCAAATCCATTTGGTTGTCAATAAGAGTTAACAACCATGAGCCTTTGAAAACCACCAGCTCCTTGAGATACATATGTCACTACATTCCAAGGTATCCAAATCTCTGTTTGGGCTTTGGGAGGTGTTCCGGATCCAAGAAATTATGTGAGCTGTAGCTGTAGGGAGGCTTTAGGAATTGGATTGCTTTTTCAGTGCTGTGATGAAACGACCCAGGTCATCCCCTGGCACAGGAAACCTGTGAGACCAGGGGGGTTGCCTGACCTGCAAGGCCACCCATCACCCAGAAAAAGTCCATCCCATCTGTCCTGGCCCCACAGAGTTCTTGGGGCTTGTGCCCAAAAACGTGCATACAGGCTGGAAAATGACCACTCTTGTAGCAAATCTTAAAATGGAGACATGGGGATTTTTCTGAGTTTTACCTTCAGGCTACAGATCATTTTCATACTACATAAATACTCTGTTCTTTTTTCTTCCTTTCACTTTTCAAAACTTCATGTCCACTTGTATTTAGCTTGCTAGTGAATGGTACCACTCCAGATCCAGGAACAGATGCATTTTGGAGAACATTAGATTTATTTTTGGCACCTTTACCTCTGTCTTCAAATTGTTTTTAAACCTCAATAGTACCTTTAGTCCAGGGCTTTTTTAAAGGAACTGTTTTTCTTCAAAAAAATATTTCAGGTTTTGATGCTGAACAGCTCTCACTATCTGGGCAAAAAACTTAAGTTCTTGGAAGAAAGAAAACTAAAAAGGCCATAAAATTCATGAGTGGTTTGCTCTCCCAGCTGTGGTCCAAAAGAAGATTTCTGTGTTAGTTCCTCACAAGAGATTATTTATAGACTTCTGCTAGCCACGGTGTTAAAGCTGCTCTGAAGAACTTGCAGGATGGTATTTTTAGCACCTTACCTAGAACCTGGCCATGTGATTTCCCCATAATCCCCTAACAACCTTATAATGGAAACAGCATTTTAGCTATCACAACACGAGGATGAAACTGATAGGCCTACAAACGCCCAGCACAGAGCTTTCCGTTCAGGTGATTGTGGGTGAATTTGCTTATAATTTTGCTCTCCTAGAGTGCCGGCAGTGCGATGGATGAACTTCCAGCTCTCCTCATCTCTGCCAGTACTCCATCCTTAGTTAACTGTGCAATTAACTAGACCTTTGTTGGCCTACTGGGACCTGAGTCCTATTAGTGCTGTGCATTCCCTGTTCCTGCTGACATTAATTGAAACCAGAGGTGCAAAGCGCTCTGGAGGATGGATCCAGTGAAAGACAGGTTCCCATCTTCACATTTGTCATGAGACTGAGACCTACCCTGAGTACAAATTAGACCTTGCTAGCAAATGGGTATTTTCCTATGACATTTTTCAAGGAAAGCGAACGGGAGGTGGGCAAAACTGTTCAGCAGAAAACGCTTGTGTTTTTGAGAAAAAACTTGAAACACTTCAGAGCTGAGGTGCTAACTACTGAGCAAGGTAGTTTAGATGTGTCACACTCCCACTTTGGCTCTGTGGTGTGACTGTGTCTGCTGGGATGGATCATCTTGTCTCCATGGGGGTGTCATGGGGCTCACCTGCTGCGATACCTGGTTTTCTGGCTGGTGGCTTCGCTGATACTGAAGCACAGGAACATGAGGAAACCAGGCTATGTACAACACCGTAACAGCATTTCTGAATCAAAATACCTCAGTCATTGTCTGCAAGAATAGTGTACTTCATAAGTTTTTGCAACACTAAATTAAAATCTCTTGGAAATCGACACTGCTGAAATATTTAATAGAAATTTAATTCAAACATTTTTTCATCGGAAAATTGATTTCATTTCAGCCCAGAGCAAATCTTGCTATGTTCATTAAATGAGGCAGAGAGAATATTTGCTGGTTGCTTGCCTCTCTCTGGTCCCTTGTTTATTTGGCTGTGTGCTTTTGGAGGACAGAGACTTCTTGTATAATGTC